TTAAAATCAATAAAGACTAAACAACAAATGTACTGTACTCATTTTTTAAGTAGACTCCCATTGCATGTACAACAATATAAACAATATGCTAACTTACTTTGTAGATTAAAACAGAAGGCAAAAGATATTTATTATGCAGATTACTTTCAAAAGTATAAATATAATCTGAAGCAAACATGGAAACTCATAGGTACATTAATTAAAAGGAAAACAAAAGGGTAAACAATTCCAACTAGAATAGTTAGAAATGACAAAATATATGTTAAGCAGCAGGACATAGCAAACCAGCTTAATCAGCACTTTATTAATGTTGGACCATCGTTAGCTCAACTGATTCATGATACTAATGTCGATCCAACATCATACATTAAAAAATCACCTTATTCTAGCTTCGTTATGTCACCTGTGAATGAAGCTGATGTATTTTTACTCTTTTCACAACCTAATCCCAATAAGGTCTCCTTAGATATTCCTAATAAGTTGGTAAGATTAGCTCATCATTTACTCTCAGTGCCATTAACAATGCTGTATAATGAATCCATTATCTCTGGTATTGTTCCTGATGTACTGAAAGTCTCGAAGGTAACCCTAGTTTACAAAAGTGGAGTAATGATCTGGAAATTATAGACCCATATCAATTCTGTCTCCCTTTAGTAAGGTTTTTGAACGCCTAATTTATGATCAACTATTGTCTTTTGTTAAGAAACAAAATATTTTATACCAATTTCAATTTGGATTTAGAAATGGCTATTCTACTGAACAAGCCATTCTTGAAATTATTGACTACCTTAAAACAGCAATAGACAATAAACTCTATACCTGTGGAATTTTCATAGACTTTTCAAAAGCGTTTGATACTGTTAGTCATAATATATTATTAAGAAAACTTGAAAAATACGGAATAAGAGGCTTACCCTTGCAATGGTTTCTAAGCTATCTAACTAATAGAGCTCAGTTTGTACAGATAGGTAATGTCAAATCAGATCTATTAACAGTAAAATGTGGTATACCACAAGGGGCAACACTTGGCCCACTTCTCTTTCTTCTTTATATAAACGATTTACCAAACTCCTCTGACATATTACAATTTAAAATATTTGCTGATGATACAAATATATTCTATTCCTCAAAAACCCCTAATATACTACAAAATGTTATAAATGATGAATTAATTAAAGTATATCAGTACTGTTCAGCAAATAAACTCTCAATAAACTTCAAAAAGATAAATAATATGCTAATAACATCAAGACCAAGAAGAAATACTTTCATTGATTTTCCTAATATTACTCGTACAAGTTGTATAAAATATCTTGGTGTTTATATTGACGAGCATCTTCAATGGCATAATCAAATCACACATGTTAATAGCAAAATAGCCAAGAATATAGGAATTTTGTTTCAACTACGACGTTATCTTAATATACACATGTTAACTAATCTTTATTACACTCTTATCTATCAATATCTGAGCTACGGCTTAATGAGTTGGGGAACTACTTACAAAAAGTAAGTTAAATCAGTTATCATCAAAACTTAACAAATGTGTTAAGTGTATATTTTTCGCAAATAGACGTGAGAATCCGAGTCCACATTACAAATTACTTGGGATCTTAAAGCTGGATAATTTGATTAAATTTAAAACAGCAACATTTGTGAGTCAAATAAGGAACAGAGGTAATGAAATTCCAGAACTATTCTCAGAACTGTTAGTACCTGTATCTAGCGTGCATTCTTATAATGCAAGGTATGCATCCCAAGATAATTACTATCGGCCAGCTGCTAGAACAAACTATGGCAAATTTTCATTTAAGTTTTTTGCTTCTCAATTATGGGAGAATATACCCGTTTTCCTTAAATCACTCCCTTTTAATTCTTTCAAAAAGGAATATAAAAACTATCTACTTTATAATCAGGAATAATCTACTACTTCAGATCCCTTCTACTTTATCTCGAATATTTACATATTAGTTTTATTTTCTTGTGTTTGATTGCTTATTTGTTATTCTATACTAAATAAATTGAGAGCTAAATCGGCTTACATTACTCTGACATTGCGGCAACCAGCTCGAAAGCTTTGCTCCTCTGGCTGTCGCTCACTACTACTTTTTTGGTATGAAATTTCATATATTTAATTATCTTTAACTCCTACAATATACTTTATTTTTCTTCCTGTACTTTTTTAAAAAAAATGTAATGATATGAAACAGTGTTAGTAAAATTTTGAATTGAATTTGAATTAAGCACTTTAGAAAGGCTGTCGCTTTTGCATTTCGGAAGTTAGAGCTATGTCGGCACTGCCGTTTCAGGGCGGGGTTAATTTCAGGACTTTCGTCCCGGATTCAGGTTTTGGCACATATGCCATGTTGACCGCCATGGTCATTTTATCCTAAAACAGTTGAGATTACCTGTGGTAAATGAAACGCATACAAACTCCTATACAGGTCCTAGACTATATTGAAAACACCACTTTCGTTCGTATTTTGAAGTCACACGAGTAAAGCCTGTTCTCCTCTTCGCCCGTATCGTACCGAAACGTACTGGTGAGGTTGCGCAGATTGAAAAGAGGTTTATAAATCCACCTACTTCCGGGTGTGTTCGCGTATCAAAATGAAAAGTTCGTCACAAGTTAACTTTTTGGCGTACTACGGAAGTACTAACCAAACAACACTCACAAAATTTTGAAATTTAAAAACGTTTTTCATAGCTTTCGGTATGGTACGCTTGAAGTGGAAAACCTGCTTAAGACGCAATATTTTACAGATGTACGGAGAACGTAACCCCCGGGAATAAAACTCTAGGAAGCTACCGTAAGTCAAGCTAATGTTAATCCCAAACGTTATGACTTTATTTTACTTCTAGCTGGAGTTAAGAAAGTCCATAAAACATCGGCAGAAAATTCAGATTTTGGAAGCGTTGGGGGAGGAACATTTGACAAAGGTAAAAAGTTCGAATCGAACCTTCCTTTGCCTCAGTTTAAAGCAGCTTTTCGTCCGAGTTTGAAACGTATAAATTGGGATGCATTAATCTACAATGATGAGCCAAACCACTGGGTTCAAGTATATTTATCTGCCACTTGCATTCCACATACGGACAAACAACTTTGCTAGTTGTCCAAGCGTTCAAACAGCGTTTGCCTGCTCCCATATCGCGTATATAACATTATACGATTTCCCGCCATCTTGTCAGTTAAGAATTGACAAAAAATATTACTCCCATTTGAAAATATATTCTCACCCCCCTGATACCGCCATATGGGGACAGAAATTTGGCAGAGGTTATTTTTTCGCTCGCTTTCTTTTTCGTCTTCGCCCGCGTTATTTTTGTCCAGCACCCTATCGCGATTAACTCTGAGAACTATCCGAAGAGAGCCGAAGAACATTATAAATAGAATAAATAACCTCTGCGGAGGAGAGAGAGAAAGTATGTGGTACGAAGCGAAAATAACTATACAAAACGATTAACGATCGACTCGATTGAACTGATTTACTTGAATATATTACAAAAACTATACATACATACTGCTTATCACATAACTCATTTGTATTTCAAATTGTTCATGTTCACTACAACAATTAGTCACGCATTCCTTCTGTTCATACCCCCCTCCTTGACGTACTTTGTATCGTCAATGATAAGAGGTTAATTACACACTATATACAATTATTTACAGTTAATCATAACGTGATGGACATAGTTTTGTTATTGGTCTAGTCAGTTCCTGTTGACCAACTTGCACTCGAACGACACGTGTATGTCCATCTTTGCCAGGAAACGTTTTTATCATCCTGCCAGTGGGCCATTTTGCTCTAGGCGCATCTGGCGACATCACTATCACAAGATCATCTTTCTCGATATCTCTCTGAGGGTAAAACCACTTTTGTCTTCTGTTTAAATTCGGAATCCATTCCCGTAACCATCGATGCCAAAAATGTCGAACAAGTTCTTGAACTCGTCGCCATCTCTTTTTGTGATTGAAATCCGTAAAATCCACCGACTCGGGCGCAAACTTTCCACCCATCTGCCCGATCAAAAAATGATTTGGGGTCAATGGTGTTTCATCTTTAGGGTTGGCACTTTGATAAGTCAGAGGGGGTGAATTTATCAAAGCTTCTTCTGCCCCGACGAAGGCAGTGTGAAGTTTTTCATCTGTAATGTCCGCATTACTTAATATTGCGTACACTGCTCGTTTTGCAGCCTTATCATAGTCTCGTGAACACCACCGAAATGTGGAGCATACGGAGGGTTGAAATGCCACTTTACAGCTTGGCTGTCGAAACTTGAATCTTTTTTACATCCAACTGCTTTACCAACTCTCTTAGTTCTTTATCTGCTCCGATGAAGTTTCCTCCATTGTCCGAAATGACTTCGTCAGGTAATCCTCTACGACTGGCCATACAATAGAATGCATTTAGAAAGGAGTCCGCGTCCATTGCATAAGCGATTTCTAAGTGAACAGCCCTTGTTGATAAACACGTAAAAAGTGAGAGATAACGTTTTTGTCTGCGTTTTCCCCGACCTTGAATCGTCGAGAAAGGACCTGCAAAATCCACTGCAGTTTGTGCAAACGCACGCATCGTCATACGTAGTTTTATATCAGGAAGTGGAGCCATCACTTGCATTGCAGGTTTACATGTTCTTTTTTTGCACTCTACACACTTGTTCTCCCAAGCTCGTATTTTCTCACGACCACAGAGTATCCAGTAGCGCGAAGAGAGCGATGCTAAGGTATGGTTAGTGCCACAGACGTGGTTCCCAGCTTCGTGATACGATTTGACAATGAGTGTGGTAATCCATTCTTTCCGAGGTAACACTATTGGATGGCGAGTGGAAAAAGATAGAAATTCTGCAAACTGGAGACGACCACCTAATCTTAAAATTCCATTGTCGTCTAACCACGGTTTTAATGGATGTAATTTGCTTTTTTTTGGTAATCCTTTTCCACTTCGCATGGCTTCAATTTCCTCGAGAAATGCACTTTCTTGGGCCAGCTGAATCAGTTAATTTTGGGAATCGTTAATTTCTTCGGATGTTAATTCTCCATTAGTCTGTTTATCTCTTGGTTGCTTACAATTATTCATGAAACGATTAATCCAAGCTCGAACTCTTTTTAGACGTAACCAACTGGAGAAACGTGTCGGGTCTAATGGCGATGTTACAGGTTCAGCTTTCCTTACGGTTACTAACGTGCTGTCCGATTTCTGTGGACTCGTTTTGATCTCGGTTAACCCACTACGATCTTTACAAAACTTCGTTTTCTTCATTTCTAGACTTTCGTATTTCTCATTCTTAAATTGAATCGATGGCCAATTTTCTTCATTTTCTTCCAGGAATCTTGGACCATTCCACCACATCTCTGATCTCCTTAACTCGGAGATATGTATTCCTCTTGAGATCAAATCCGCAGGGTTTTTCCAGGATGGAACATGGCGCCACTGCTGTGGATTGCTACGGCTTTGAAGTTCTACGACACGATTAGACACGAATAGTTTGAATTTTCGGCTTTGGTTTCGAATCCACCCGAGTACATTCATACTATCACACCAATACGTTACTTCACATACATCAATTTCTAACAGGTTAGCGAGGGGAATGGTTAATCTCAACCCGACAACTGCGCTCATTAATTCCAGACGAGGAATGCTTATTGCTTTTAATGGTGCCACTTTAGACTTCGCGGAAATCAGGCGAATTGACGTCACCCCACTCTCGTAATGGCTTCGGAGATATACAACTGCACCATAAGCTTTTTCGGAGGCGTCGACAAACGTATGTAATGATGACGAAATCACGGTATCTGTTGATAGACACAAACAGCGTGGAATTCTGATTGTAGTTAACTGTTCGAGTTGTTGAAACCACATCATTGCTCTTTCTTGTAACGCCTCATCAAGCTGTTCGTCCCATCCTAACCCACTAATGCACAGTTGTTGCATGAGAAGTTTAGCTTGAATGACAAATGGGGCAAGAAACCCGACAGGATCAAACAGAGATGCAATCTTTTTAAGGAAAGTTCTTTTTGTCAGCCCAATTCTTATGGAGGATGACCCGTAAATGTAAACACATCGTCCTCTGCCACTCACTGTAGACCAAGGGTTTTAATAGAAGGTAGTTGCCCATCGTCGAGATGCACTGCTGAAGCTCTTTCTTGGGGTGGAATCTGTTCTAGGACAGCTCTTGAATTCGATAACCACTTGTGAGGATGCATATCGGCTTTCTCGTATAACTCTTTCAGTTGTCGGTAAAGTTTGATTGCTTGATTATCATCAACTGCAGAGTCCATGCTGTCGTCCTTATACGTTGCATTTTCAACAGTATTGGCCGCTAATTGGTAGGAATCTTTGTTCTTTAGGGCATGTTGTTGAAGGACGAATTGAGCGAGAAAAGGAGATGAACTTGTTCCAAAGACAACACGGCTGAATTCGTATTCTTCTGGTTCTTTGGACTGATCCATGGAACGCCAAAGGAATCGGTGGTAGTTTCTGTCTTCCGGTGCTATCTCCACTCGTAAATACATTTCAGATAAATCACATACGATGGCTACTGGATGTCTTCGAAAACGAAGAAGTACGTTGTTCAGATCCTGTTCTAACTTCGGACCTTGAAGCATCACATCATTCAGCGAAACTTCTCGGGATTTTGCTGACGCATCGAACACTATTCTTGTTTTCGTCGTAGGCTTATCAGGACGCAATACTGGGAAATGAGGTAGATATCATACACAAGATGATCTTGGTTCTTCTTTTTGTTCCTTTCGAATGTACTTTTTTGCAAGATATTGTAGGATAACGTTGGAATAGGCTCTGCTCAACTCAGGATCTTTAGCCAGTCGTTTTCCTGTGTTTTTTAATCGTTTTAACGCCATGTCGTAATTTTCTGGTAAATTTGAAGGATCTTCTTTCCATGGAATCGCCACTTGGTATCGACCATCTTGATATTTCATCGAATTCTTTACTTTGTTAACAGCGAGATGGTCTTCGGCATTCATTGTACCATAATCGCGGGAAGATGTTTCTTCAATTTCCCAAAATTGTCGTAGAATGTTGTCGACATCTGTTGACTTCGATTGACTTTGGGTAAAATAGGTGCGATTAAAGTTAGTGTGATTAGGTGTGGTGATTCTGGCTGGTCGCTCGATACATGTCCTTCCCAGCGGAGTAAGTCTTGCAATAGGTTCGCCTTCGTCACCTCGAATCTCTTGTCTTGAATAGAGAAGATCTGCATGATCTACGCCTATTAACAGGTCTACCGTAGATTTCTGACCAATCTTTGGAAATTCTATTTTTTTTAAATGATCCCATCTTCCAGCATACTCATTCCAATCAATCACTTCCATGTCTTCAGTCATTTTCTCTGTCATAAATGCACTGACGTTATGTGTGACTTCACCATCTAAGCTCTTCAATTCAAATTCAACTGGCATCGTTACAAACGTTTCCACTTGCCCGTTTAACACGTTCACTGTCGCTTTTTGAAATTTCCCATGCAGTCCCAATTCGGCAGCTTACGTCGGTGTTAATATAGGTTTGTGTGCTTGCATCGTCCAATAAAGCATTCACCGTAACTTCGCGATTTCCATTTTTGAGAACTGCAGGTACTGTTCGTAATGCTATAAATTCTTTCCGATTTTCAGAGGTTTGTTGCTTTCTTGTTGGGTGGGATGGAGTGCTGTTGTCCTCAGGTAGATTAATGCATGGCTCCCATTCAAATATAGCCAAAAATACATTAAATTATATAAAAAAATCAGTTTAGTTTGTATGAATGTGGTTAATGTTGGTATATGAGGACAATAGGATTTTCATTTTTTTCTATGCCTTTGTTGCCATGGCAACAGTCACGTGACCATTTAAATGGTCTCCATCCAAATGATCAAAACAAGGCCGCTGCCTCTAGCGGATATTCACGCAGATAAACTAACATTTTCACATTAACGTTCTTTAGTACTCACAGATTATGGATGCAATCAGCCCCTGTTCCTACACCGTTCAGAATTTCATATATTTTCGATAATATGCAACTGACACTATGCTCTGGTGTCAATAAGTGTACATTATTTTGAAACGAAGCCAGCTCGGAGCAGGGGCTGATTCGTTTCGTAAACTGCAAGGTTTCCACTAAACAAAAGCGTTGTTAATGTACTAAATTGACTAAAAACCGCGGTCGGCGAAGCAAACGTGTTTTCTTCCACGCGATCACTTTAGTATCGCCGCCATCATTATGAGCCCGCGTTGGAAGTTTAGCGGATACACACATAAATATACAAAATTAACATTCCAATGTTGTAAGATGATCACGGAACAACAGGAATCTCAAATCTTTACCGCTTCAAAAGCAATAATTTGGCTATCAGAACGAACAATATTAGATTTATTACTGACGATTTAAAGCATAGGTAATATTTATATCGTAAAGAGGATGCGAAATTGTGATTAGATTGCTACTGATGTGAAGAAATTTAACTGTGAAAATGTTTAAGAAATACGTAGACGACATATACAACTATAAATATACAGACGAGTTAGGGGCATATCGTGTTAACTAAATCCTCTATTGCATAATTCTAGGTATTTATCAAACCGGAAAAATATTATATGAGAAATGCACTATAAATCCGAACGAGATCAATAAAACCAAATATTTTCCCATTTCAAACATTCGTTGATATATATATAATATATATATATATATATATATATATATATATATATATATATATATATATATATATATATATATATATATATAGTTATTTAAAATTTGAGTCAGCTTTGCACACCAATATTTCGTGTATTTATTAGTGAGACGCAAGTGAATTTACAGACGCTACATCTTGCTATTATCTGCTGTTTGACAAGAGCCATTTGACAGTAATACGCGTAACTCTAATCATAATCATAAATCATAATAATATATTAACTCGTTCGGATTTTGGCGCAAAATTTAAAATTGATTTGATATACAGCTACTCTGCAATGTATAAAGTATGGTCCTAAGTTTTAGTTTAATTTGCCCACCCAAAAAGACATTTTGAAAGAAGCATTTTGAAACTTTATTACGCCCACGTGAATGACGAATACTATCAAGACACGCGCGCCTCCCGCGTGGTGTATAAAGGTCAATACGTGGACGGAGCCATGCATTAATCTAGCTGAGTCACTTTGGCTATCATCTTTTCTAGGCTCCACTTTGACGTCTGTTTGGGTGGCGCTGCAAGTAGTTCTAACAACTTTCTGAACGCTTTTGGCTGGTGGATATATTGGATTTCTCTCTAACTGTTTTCGGCTGGAATCGTTTCAGTTGAACGCTGTATGTAGCAGTTCATGGTGTGTTTTTTGACAGCCATCCTTTCCACAAACTCTCGTTGCTGTGCATGAACTTCCAACGTGATCATGATCAAAACATCTAAAACACAACTTGAACTGTTTCGCTATATTCCCTCTCTCCCATGGCTTTAATTCTCGAAATTTTTTGCAGCTCCACACTCCATGTCGACCATCGCAAGTTGGACAGGCTTTGATTCTAACTTCGATCTATCGTTTCGTCCGAAAAATGTTTGTTGATGATAAATCTTCTTTCTTCTCGTTTCTAAGCGATATGTGCAACCGTGAATTGTCTCAGATGCTGTTGTCAGGAACTCTACTTCTTGTAACATCCAATCTCGGAGAGCTAGCTAAGGCCTACTTTGGGGGCCAAGGTCGCCTAATGTCGCCTAATTTCACCTAATGTCGCCTAATTTCGCCCACTTTCGCCCATGTGCACCCAATTTTTTAACTTTGCCTGACAGTCTATTTGCTTAATGTCGCCTAATTTCGCCTAATGTCGCATAATCTCACACAAGCATGCCCAATTTTGCACTTTGAGTTTGTCGTCCATACTAGTCTATTCCTTATTTATTTGTTAGTTTCTTGCATGCTTTTTCATAAATACATGTACACAAACACCAAGGGCATGTGCTGTTAGGGCACCATCGCTCACCAGTATTAATGAGGCTTGGTTATTTGGCGTTTATATGTATATGAATTACAACACATTATTCCAATGAGAATTACCTAAATTATGTTGTTAAGGCAGCCTTCTGGCCATCTTCTCCAATGTGTTTCTTTGTGAAACTCAGTCAAATTAGACAATCACACGCCATTAAATGTTGTATATGAAATCAAACTTAGATCTTATTATCAAAGACACATTCATGATAACTGGCGAGTGCAAAAGTACAGAATACCTCTCACTAGCCTAGTGAAGGACACTAGGTATCCTAAAGGCCGAAACGGTACCGTCGGTAGTATATATATATATATATATATATATAATCGGTCACGAGTACTAAATACTGCCCGGAGCGCCCGGGGACGCCCAGGAGTGCCCGGGGACGCCCTGAAGCGCACAGGAGCGTGTGAGAACGCCCGGGGATATATAAGATATAGTATAAATCAGTGCACGATCCTTTTTGAGTCTCTATGAGGCATTATATCAATGAACTTGGAATTCATCTCGGGTAAGTTGCTTTTTGGCCCTGGAATTTCTCAGAAGTAAACAAATTATCCTGGCTATGGAATTCTTCAGGTGTTGGGTATTTTCAATGAGATTTCATCAGGGGTCAAAGGCAAATTCTATAGGTAAATGCTGAATTATTTTTAAAGTGGTAACTGCTATTAACAGGAAACCATCATGGGACATACTTTGTTACAGTAAGAATTTCTCAGGGGTACATATAGTAAAACCTTGAACTCGATAGGGGGGTTACCACCGGTACATGTTACTGTATATGGAATAGTCCTATCTATAAATAAAGAAAGTCATCTATAGTATGTTCAAAATACGACTTTGTAGTTTGTAAAATAAAAGTACTTACTTTTCGACGAAGCTACGATGATCGACATCTCATAATTAGGTATCATCGCAAAAGATACAGAGCAATGAACGCACCACAGAAAGATCTACGGTACAGGTTGTTATAAAATAGAGACCTTAAGATTGACATTTACGGCAAACGTCAAACCGCTAGCGAAGTTTTTGATTTTACAACTCTATTATTATAGCTTTTACACCAGTTTTGAAATATGTTAAACTTATTAAACTTGTGCTCTTTATCAATGATTTAAAGAAAGCAAATTAACCACTAGTCATGCCATTCACCAAAGCAGTAAATTAAGATTTGGCGTTTGAAGTTGACGTTTGGCGTATAAATTTCATGCTTGAACTGCTACGAGGCTTGTAGTCGTTAAAGCATGAAATTTATACGCCAAACGTCAACTTCAAACGCCAAATCTTAATTTACTGCTTTGGTGAATGGCATGACTAGTGGTTAATTTGCTTTCTTAAATCATTGATAAAGAGCACAAGTTTAATAAGTTTAACATATTTCAAAACTGGTGTGAAAGCTATAATAATAGAGTTGTAAAATCAAAAACTTCGCTAGCGGTTTGACGTTTGCCGTAAACGTCAATCTTAAGGTCTCTATTATCTTATTACTTACATTACTCCTGAGTCATGTTGTTTCTTGCACAATTAAACAACTAAACTGCGCACACAACTTTACATTATCATAACTATCTCATTTGCGCCGCTCTCGTGATTCGTGAGGCATAATAAAGGGCATAATATAAGGGCATAATATAAGGGCATAATACCAGCAAAAAAGGGTTTAATTCCCGTAATCGCTTCGAAACCTGACCAATATTCCGGTATTGAGACATCGGCGTGTGATCATGTTTCTATATGAACGATTTGGTGTGAGCCCAGGCCTGGTGTGAGCCGTGAGGTAACAAATTAGCAAATACGGTTAGACAAAATAGTCTGTAATTTATTAATATATAACTTTGTCGCCAATGCGCTTAGTCTGTTTATAAGCCTATAAACACATCTTTTCTTGGCGGAAGTAGCTATATTTTTTCAAATGCGTTTTTTCCCAGCCACTTTCAAAATTCGGCGCGGGACGGCGCCCCCTTTTCAATTTTGCGCCCTCCAAGAATTGCCAGCTGGGGGGGCCGTGGCCCCCCGCCCCCCCCCGCTGCCAGCACGCCACTGCTGCGCATAAAAAATCTCGGACATAATTTTGGCTAAGTGGACCTTCTGGTATTCTGTGATGATGGCTTCGGAGGGAGTAAGTATGGGCATATAGGGTACACATTCGTTTGTACGTTGTATCCCACAGTATCCACTAATGATATCATGTGTATGTGTTGTAACTTCAGTTGAAAGCTTACAGTTTACGTTTTATTTTTCTGTTTTTCTGGTTAAATATGTGATAAATTCGAAGATAAATTATGTGGAGCAACACCTTGCTTGGTTTTGGAAGTTCTACTGTGTAAACATAGCACAAAATTACCGTTTTAACGGCGATATTTTGCATCAAATTTATAGATATGTCTGGCAAAAGTAAGACCTGTTCACCCCTTCGGCCACAAGCTGTACTCGACACGAAATGGTTGAAAATAGACTTACAGGTAAGTGGGAAAAGAAAATTACTTTGTTTTGAGAGAGTAGACATTTGTATATTATACGTGGGGTGAATACTTGGACTTGGAAAATAAATAGAATTTTGCGCCAGTCAGAAATATTGATGTCAGATATTATGCAGTATTAAATTGTCATAATTATCATGAATGTATCTGCTGCTTATATTTAAGTAATAGAAAAAAAGACTGCCAAGAATGAACCTATCAATGTTTGTGCTTGTTTGTATATTTTGCATTTTGTTTCATGAATGCATCTAACCTTATCATTCATTTTTGCTGTGACTTGCAAGAAATGCAGATTGCAGGGCTGTAGCGAAGGGGGTATTGAGGGTGGTGCGGCACCGAAAATTCATAACAGTTACAAGCTTATTCGGAAAGTTCGGACCAGGGCCAGGGCACCGAAAATTCATAACAGTTACAAGCTTATTCGGAAAGTTCGGACCAGGGCATTCAGCAAAATGTGAGCGAAAATATTTGAGTGGTTCTGATTAAAAAGTAATTAGTTATAGCAAAAATTTTGATAAATTTACGAAAAATTTAACAGATGACGGTACATTAGTTTGAGGGTTAGTGAAAAATGGTATGTTTGGAAAATTTTTTAACCCCCCCCCCCCTTTCAAGAATTAATGCATTTATTTTGTGTATTTTTTGTTGAGATGAAGCTAATATAGACAAAAACACAATTTAGTACTGTAAATTACTGCTTGGCTATGCCTACAATGTGCACAGGCATTCTCAATAGACCTTTCCCCTTACGAGTGAAATTTTGATCTAGACAAGCCTGGACAAAAATTTTATCACAGCTTGAAAGAGCATCACAAAATTAGTAATATTCCGAAGTTTCGTTGCAAAATGTTGTAAAATGAGGACAATATAGCCTTGCGAAGTTTGCCGTTTTTCAGTCATTTTGCATTACAAATGGGAATTGATAATTAGATGATCAAACTGATTATATATACTAAAACTGTCTGTACCAGTGTAGGTAGTACCAATGTGAAAATGCTGTTTTTTAAGGTAGTAGTATAACCTACCTATAACTGCTTGTTTTTTAAGGTAGTAATACAGTATAACCACTCAGCATAGCATTTTCAAACTGATTATCAATTTCCCATTTGTAATACAAAATGACTGAAAAACGGCAAACTTTGCAAGGCTATATTATCCGCATTTTACAACATTTCGCAACGAAACTTCGGAATATTACTAATTTTGTGATGCTCTTTCAATCTGCGATGAAATTTTTGTCCAGACTTGTCTAGATCAAAATTTCACTCAAAAGGGGAAGGTTTATTGTTCTGCCTTCATTTCTGCACCATGTACCACAGGGGCATTCCCAGTGCAAAAATACTTAATTAATAAAGCTTCAATCAAACTTATTAAAATTTACATCAGTATGTTAAAAACAAAAATAGTAGACATTACAAACAGGAAAAGGCGAGTTAGATAAGGGATTGGCAACAAGTCCCAAAAAGGCAAACCCTGTAAAATAACCCATTAAGCTGCAGAGCTTCCCCATTGACAAGTAAAATCGTCTGGCGTTAGACAAGTGAAAAAAAATAAGTAGGGCACACTGGGGCATATTGCAGCTCAATGGGTTAATTACAATTAATGACACTAGGACAACAAAACACACATAAAAGTTCCAGGGTTCGAATTAATTCTGACTGGGACTATTAAGTTAATGAACACCATCCATATTTATAGATTTAAACAAAGCAAATCTGTTGTCTTATAATTTATAAACAAGTGCTTTTGCATGCACACTGGCAGCATGTTTGCAGACTGGAAGGTGTCAAATTTTAGCCACCGTGACAGACAGACAAAACCATGACTGATTGATGTTATGTGTTGGGTTTGTATATCAAAGATGGCAAACAATGTTTAAAAAGTTTTGGAATCATTAAATTATTGCAATTTGCTTGAGTAGATGTAAGATGTTTGACTGAGTAGCTAAGACAATCATGAACCTATTTTATACACATTTATAGAGCCACATTTTTTTTAAAAAAGTTGCACATCATTTTTTCTCAACTAATTCGAACCCTGAAAAGTTCCCTAAATACTACTGAGCAGCATACGTCATATTCGTCATCTAATGCTTATTTTCAAATGAACTTAATGACTGAAAATAGTTTTGTAATTTTAGTTTAATTTACAGTATTTACACCCGTTTCCAACACTACTGTGGGCGACCAACCCAAAAATAATTCAGTTCATCAATGCCAGTCTCATGCTACACAAACTGCTAAAATGGCAAACATAACAAAAGAAAAAGATGTTTTTATTATAACCTTTTTAATTAAAACACCAAAATGAGCTAGATACACAAACTTACAAATTTAGAGACCTGAACTTTATACCTTTGCCATGTTGCCATGGCAACAGTGACATCGTCAAAACAGAGTTCCAAATATTCCACTGATGTTAGATATTGCCTCCAAGTAGAAAAGAATGCAGAAATATCTGCATTATTTAATAGCCCTGTATTGCAGAGATGTTGGGCAAATAGATACAACTGTAGGGAGTAAAGGTGTGCGAATTTTTATTGTTGGATCGGATTTTGTAGGTTTTTTGTCGGATCGGATTTGGATTTTTTCTTGTATTGCATCGAATTACTCGAAAATTCTATAGCAGGAAGTGCCTGGAAGGCTTTGGAGCCGAGTGATTTGGTAGAAGAGGAGTAATACAAACTATATAATGCCGAGTGATGACAATGAAGTAAAAAAGTGTTTTGATATTTCTGACAAAAAAAAACACTGGCGTTATGTGGATTCTTCTTAAATCGGTTACCTGGGAATTGGGATATAGAAATGTTGTGATTCTTTGTTTAGTTTGTTAGGTTTATGTGTCATGAAGCACTGACAATGAGATTTATTAGTGCTGTGATAAACTTTAAGATGTTTTAAATTGTAAACCCAGCTCAAGCTCATGCATTGTTATAATAACTATGTGACTAGTCATTTTTTTTCTACGCTAGTATAACTGTATAAGGCATAATTATGTGATATTGCGCTGCAATTTTTATCGGATTCGTATCTGCTTATTTTTGCTGGAAATTCATTATTTCCAATATATCCTTTATGATCATGAAAAAATATGTTCATACACCGAATAATTAACGCACGCTGTATATAGTAACTTAAGTTCGGATCGGATCGGATTACGAATTTTAGCATCGGATCGGATCGGATTTTATAAACATTTTTTCGGATCCGATCGGATTGCTTTTTTCATCTTCGGATCGGATCGGATTCGGATTGAGAACTTAGACAAACCATCGGATTCAAAGAGGTCAATCCGATCCGACGCACACCTCTAGTAGGGAGCCACCTTAAATGGCATTCTTGCAGTGAAAACAGTCTTTTTTACTTAGTACCAGACGTCCGGACATCACAAATATCGTAATATTATAATAATATAAGAAGCCATATACTGAAAATGCAAACGTATATTCACATGTGAACCGGCAGGCGGCAGCAAGCGCAAAAAAAAAGACTGGGGCAAATTTTGTCATGACAGGAAGTTTTCACACAAAATTTTCATGACTGGCTCTTCAAGAAACTAATTTATACAGTACTACAGTGTACACTGTATGTAGCTATTGCTTACTTTTTTAAACAGATATATTCACAGTATTTACTTTATCTTTCACTTTTCATCAATATAATTATAGCAGTATCACTGTACCGGACATACTGTCCGGTGAAAAGCAGTTTGCCGGACATTTGACCTTTTCATGTCGGACAATGTCCGTGTCCGGCCGCTTATTTTCAGGCTTGAAAACAATGTATGATCCTTGGGCTTGGATCCTTGGGATACTTGTATTCTAAACTCAGATTGATATATGTATGTGGTGACTGCCCAAATTGAAAAATATTGTAGATTGAACATTTAAAGTAAGTGTTTGATATGAAAACAATATTTTGACATAAGAAGTATGTCACTTTGGCGGCTATAGAGCATTTTCATATTATGTGATATTGGTAAAAACCCAAGTGAACGTCTCAATCGCGAACACAAGGCTGTATAGCCAAGGCGACATGATAAAAGTATATGTATTTCATTATTTCGAAGATACAGTTGTACGTATTGTTTACTATTTAACAATTAGTCGCCGAAGGCGAGGTGATTACAAGCCTATATTCACTGAGCCGAAGGCGAAGTGAATATAGGCTTGTAATCACCGAGCCTGAGGCGACTAATTGTTTTAGTATAAATTTCCAGGTGTTTACAAACAATAATCCACACAACTTTATAAAAATTCACTTCAAATACATTTATTTTCGCTATAAATAGTTTGTTTACAAAATTTAAATCTCAGACACGGCTGTGTTGCGTTGCGACTTAGCCAGTTTTTTTTCCCAAAAAAGCACGTAAAGTTTAATATTTTACCTTGAAATATTTTCAAACCATATTTTGTAGCTTGTTTGGGTTTTTTTCGGAATGCTATCTTCTTTAATTTTGGCAATTTCCTCTTCTGTTACTACGGCAAAACGAGCAGCCATTTTGAAAAAAAGCTGTAGTCACTGACCAGTGACTATCACTTCAGAGACAGTGAATCTTGACCAATCAGAATGCAGAAAAATCAATAGTCACCTGGAAATTTATACTAAGTATCTTTAGGTTTTGATAATATATTCGTTTCTGTTAATTTTTGGAAGCAGCATCAGGCTATTCCTTTATCATATTACATGTACTCTGCCAATTAGCCATTTCCCAAAGTCCTGGGCTGGTCGCGCAAATTCGTGCAAATGGAGGAACAAGAAATATGGAAGCAAACATTTAAATTAAAAGATTTTAATGTAAAAAGATCTTAGTCATCAAAAAGTTGATATTTGATAGTAGATACAAATAATTTTTATCAAATCATTTGATACTTCTGCTTATTCACATATTTGACGCCTGTCACCATATATTTTGTCCCTCCAATGATCCCAGAATGCACTGTGATCTCTTGGGAAAAGGCTAGTTGGCAGATGGTTATCCTCA